CTTAATCTGCCTTTTACAGAAGGGGCACAAGAAGTGTGTAACCTTAATCGGTCTTTTACAGAAGGGGCAGAAGAAGTGTGTAACCTTAATCTGCCTTTTACAGAAGGGGCAGAAGAAGTGTGTAACCTTAATCGGCCTTTTACAGAAGGGACAGAGGAAGTGTGTAACCTTAATCCCAAGTCAGGGTACCTTTTCTTTAACATACCAATAAACAATATTCAGTATATATATATATAATCCCAAGTCAGGGTACCCTTTCTTTAACATACCAATAAACAATATTCAGTATATATATATATTTCTAAAAAAGGTCCGTTTCAATTCCTTATACGTATGCGTGTGTATTAATACTGAAACATCCGGAATCAGAAAGATACAATACTCTATAACTGGGAATCATTCCCATCTTGCCCCTGGAGAAGAAAAGATCGTCTTTCGAAACCGCTCGGGTTATAGGGTATCGCATTTTTGTGTTAAATTGATTTATTGAACTTACGTGTTTTTTCTAACATCCCGAATCTTGATGCTCTGAAATCATATTTTAACAAGTGTTGGAGTATAGCTTGAAAGCCTAAGTATTTAAATAAGATATAATTCAAAACGTATCAAGGCCCTAAGGAGCGCCACCTATAGGAGCTGGTATATAACTAAATGGATATATAAACACCAGTTCTATTATAAATTCAGCCTGGCTTTTTCTTTCCTTTTTAGCATCAGCAGTAAGAAAAAAAAATACTGTATTTGTAGCAGAACATAGGAGCTGGCCAAAAAATAACAGGGCTCTTGAATATGTATAGAAGAAATGTATTTTCTCGCAGCAGTTTCTATAAATATCACACACTTAACTGAAAATGGAATAAGTTAGTTCAAATAAACCTATATCATCCTTACAATTGCTCGTGCCACCGTTTCTGTATTCCTCCAAAGAAGAAACGTTTTTTTTTTTTAACGCATCAAAGTCCTGTTACTTCTGGACCACCCTCTATATATAAATAAAACCAATGAATATATAGAACGTAGCTAAGTAAGCAAGAAGTTAACTCGCTTTTTATAGGGGAGGTGGGAATGCTGCGTTTCTAAAACTTTGATCACATAATCTGAAACTGGTTCATGTAAAAAAAAGATAAATGTTTCGTTTAGGTCACGAATAAATATCTAAAATAAGAATAAAACCACAGCGTTAGCGAAACATCAAGTTAAAATGAAAATTCGAGTTTTTTTTTGTTTATTCAAACGACTGTTTGTTTTAGAGATACATCTGACACAATAACGTAAGAGCCGGATCTTGCTTTAGTTTCACCGTTGTTAATTATACTATCTTCAAACTTGCATTGTTGTTCTGCCGAAGCCAAACAATCATTTTGTGAATATTAACAGATATGCTTTATGTTTGTTCTACATTATTCTCATGTTTTTAAACTTCTAATGGGATACTTAGTGCATATTAATACTTTTCTTGTTTTACGCGTTGTATGTTTATCATGCCATAGTGTCATTTATGAGCAACAGATGGCGCTGTAGTCAAACACTCACGATGATGGTAGAAACTCGAAGAGTCCTGTTCTTCAGGGTTTGCTTGACTTCCTGAATATAAGTTACTGTGTAGTTCCTAGTGAATACTATTCCATCTTGTGGGTTCCAGAACGCAGCCTAAAGAGAGAATAACAAAATACTGCATCCGTATGGTTATCAATTTTAATCTATTTATCTACCAGTCTATGAATTATTTTATCTGTCTGTTTGCTAAAACTACTTTGAAGAAGAGTGAACAAAGTTTTACTGCAGAATTCTCAAAACCATTAATAAGGTTACAGCAAGGTTTTACTGTAAACTTCTCTAAACCATTAATAAGGTTACAGCAAGGTTTTACGGCAGAATTCTCTAAACCATTAATAAGGTTACAGCAAGGTTTTACTGTAGAATTATCTAAACCATTAATAAGGTTACAGCAAGGTTTTAGTGCAGAATTATCTAAACCATTAATAAGGTTACAGCAAGGTTTTACTGCAGAATTATCTAAACCATTAATAAGGTTACAGCAAGGTTTTACTGCAGAATTATCTAAACCATTAACAAGGTTACAGCAAGGTTTTACTGTAAACTTCTCTAAACCATTAATAAGGTTACAGCAAGGTTTTACTGCAGAATTATCTAAACCATTAACAAGGTTACAGCAAGGTTTTACTGTAAACTTCTCTAAACCATTAACAAGGTTACAGCAAGGTTTTACTGTAGAATTATCTAAACCATTAATAAGGTTACAGCAAGGTTTAACTGCAGAATTATCTAAACCATTAATAATAACTTTTAAATGATGTTCTACTGTAAAATACTTAAAATCATTAACAAACTTTAAACAACGCCTTGCTATAGAATGTTCAAAACTATTAATAACATCAGAACAAAACTGATGTCGAATTTTTATAAGCGTTAATAAAATCAAAACAATACTTTGATGTAAAATGTTGAAAATGGCAAAGGTTTTGTTCTGTGGTACGGCTGGCGAGCCATATTGGAATCCGTGTGATATCACAAAATATTCAATCCTTTTAAAGCTGTGGGTGCGCGATAAGAGTAACAGTCAGTAAAATGTTTAAAATGGCAAAGGTTTTGTTCTGTGGTACGGCTGGCGAGCCATATTGGAATCCGTGTGATATCACAAAATATTCAATCCTTTTAAAGCTGTGGGTGCGCGATAAGAGTAACAGTCAGTAAAATGTTGAAAATGGCAAAGGTTTTGTTCTGTGGTACGGCTGGCGAGCCATATTGGAATCCGTGTGATATCACAAAATATTCAATCCTTTTAAAGCTGTGGGTGCGCGATAAGAGTAACAGTCAGTAAAATGTTGAAAATGGCAAAGGTTTTGTTCTGTGGTACGGCTGGCGAGCCATATTGGA